ATTCTCGTTCTCAACTCGGCCCTCTCTCTGTCTCTGCAACTGTAAAGTACAAAATCTACAAGAATCAGAACCCATCTCGGCATATCATTTCAGATTGTTCAAAAAATCAAACCCATATCCTTCAGTTTCCGTCGCCCGCTGTTCCAGTTCGGGTTCGATGTTCTCAAGCTTCAGCCTCTGGCCTGCTGTCTCTCAACTCTCAAGCCCTCTCTCTGCAACTGCTAACTTGTATGTATGGGTTTTGTTTTAATATTTTTTTTTTCTAAATCAATTAATCAAGGTCTGTAATTCTTGTTTTGCAAACTAAATCCTATTTGGTGAAACTTTTTTACGATCTTTTTTAGTATTTTATGAATTTTAGTTATAAATGTTTGTGAAGATACTGACTGAAATAGGATCTTCCTTTCCAAGCTTTGAAAGAGTAATTAGTAAATTTGGGTTGAACTTGAGTCTTGAACAAGCTGAAGGTTATACAGATAAGTAATTTCTTCAATTATTCAACATAAATATTTTTAGGGCAAATCATTTCAGCCTCCCCAATCGTCTCCATCTCTATTCTCGTTCTCGACTCTGAACTTGCCCTCTCTCTCTCTCTGCAACTACAAACTACAAAATCTACAAGAATCAGAAATTCAAAACCCATATAATTCAGTTTATCTATCTCTTCAGCCGCTGGCCCTCTGTCTCTCAACTCTCAAGCCCCTCTTTCTGCAACTGCTAACTTGTATGTATAGGTTTTGTTTTAATTTTTTTTTTTTCTAAATCAGTTAATCAAGGTCTGTAATTCTTGTTTTGCAAACTAAATACTATTTGGTGAAATTTTTTCACGATCTTTTTTATTATTTTATGAATTTTAGTTATAAATGTCTGTAATTCTTGTTTTGCAAACTAAATCCTATTTGGTCATTCCAGGTATTGCAGATTTTTAAGCTTGTAAACAGGTTCTTTCATTATGTCTGGACGTGCTGAGGTAAGCATCAATAGAAAGACCATTAATAATGTCAGACCATTAATCAAAATACTTACTTAAAACTCATGTAAGTTATTAGTTTTCCAGAGCAGCCGAAATGATTTTATTACATTACATGCACAAGATGATGGGTGGACTTTCAAAATTTGTTGACATTGCACTTTATAACTATGGCATATGCCACTGGTAGTAGTTTGAATGAGAACTCCATTATAGACAATAGATGCTCAGGCTCAAATGCTAACAAGAATAAAACGAAATGACTCCCTATGCACGACATGTGGAAATTATAAAATTGTTGAGAGCTATCTCTAAGGCTACCTTCCATTTGTATGTATCTCCACGGCATCAACATCATCCCTTTTAAGAATTGGGTTCTTCTGTTTCTATATTTACCTACCATGCAACTATGCAATTGATATATATACATATATAAATCGATATGGATAGATGGTATGGTATTAAATTAGTTACAGTTCTAGGAAAAAAAATATAATGGGATAGTTTTCAATTCAATCATCAAATTAACCACCATTTTTTGTGAATTCTGCACGGTTATATGGCCTACCAAATATGTGAAAGTTCTAGAGGTTAATTGGTCATTCATTAACCTTTTTTACTTTTTTTGAAAAGTAGTAATTAACATATGATCTGATTTTATTTTCTTTTATTTTTTTATATATGTTGGCATTACATTTTTAATTTTTTTCCTCACAGGATCTACTTTAACCAGCTTGTTAGTAAAACAAAACCGTTACTTTTGAAGTAAGATTAGGAGCATAGTTCTGGTTCTCAACCTTCATCTCTGGAAGGTGTGTTCTAAATTTTACTAGCTAATGAAGTTCATTTATCAATTATCTCTATGTGAAGTCAGGTAATATTAACCTGCCAAAGTGATCTTGATCAATGATATATTAAAGTCACATTGCTATAACTTGTAAGACCTATGTTGAAAAATAATATTATATGTGTAAAAATTAGATTTCCAACTTTTAGTGAGCATAGTGTCACGGACTTGAACCTTTTCAAGCTCCCGTGCGGCTTTAGACACTTTCAAGCCCCCTTGAAGCGCTAAGTCAGCCTACCCGAGTGTGATAGCTTAGTGAAGACTAAGGCTAGACAAGTGTTTTGCTTATTTGGGTGTGTAGGAAGAAGTTAGGCAACCGAGCAAGAGAGTTTGGGAATGTATAGAACTTGTATTGCTTAAGAGGAGAGATTACAACTTGGTTGCTTGGTGAGGAGAAAATGAACTCCCACCTCCTATTTATAGGCCTTTGGCCTTACAAAAACATTCTAGATGTGTACAAATGTGTGGCCTAGATTTAGTGTCTAGAATCCTCCAGAAATATCTACACAATTCTAGAACTATCTACTATGTACAAGACAAGTCTAGAGAATTCTAGAGAATTCTATACAACTCTAGACAAGTCTAGAAAAGGCTAGACAACTCCACAGTAATCTAGAGAATTCCGGAAAGTTCCATACTTGTGTAGAGAAGTCTAGAAAGCTCCAGTCTATGCAGGCTCCATGTCATCGTCTGCTGGGCGTCTGTGTGGCGCCTGCGTGGCATAGCGTCTTGGTTGCGGGGTGTGACATTCTCCCCCACCTCAGCTCGCGACGCCCTCGTCGCGTCTTCTTGCTTAAACCGCTGGATATGTTCCGCGAACAGCCATAGTGTATCCCAATGCTCCCAGCTCGCCTCGGTATCTGGCAGGTTCTTCCACATCCCTAAATACTCTGTATATTTGGGCACACCTCTCCTGCTCATCACACGATCTGCAAGGATGCAATCAACTTCCTTGTCAAAGGATGCGACAACAGCCGTGGGTGCCCTATGCGATATGCCCCGAGTAAGGTCTTTCGTATCTTCATGATAAGGCTTGAGCATGCTGACATGGAAAACTGGATGAATCTTCAACTTGGGTGGAAGCTCCACCATGTAGGAGACCTTGCCCACCCGCTTGACGATGGGGAACGGGCCCTCGCACCTCCTTACTAGCCCCTTATGCACGCTCCGGAAGGACTTAAACTATTGGGGTAGTAGCTTAACCATCACCTGGTCTCCCACTATGTACTCCACCCGCCTTCGCTTGGTGTCGGCCCACTTCTTCATCTTCTTTACCGCCTTATCAAGGTACGCCCTAGCCAAGTCGGATTGCTCATGCCACCTCTTGGCAAATTTGTAGGCCGCCGGACTCTTACCATCGCAAGTTGGAGCAATGGCGTTGGGTGTCATAGGCTGCCGTCCGGTGACAACCTCAAATGGACTGTGATTGGTAGCCTCACTCCGCTGTAAGTTGTAAGAAAACTGTGCCACCCCAAGGAGTTTGGCCCAATCTCGCTGGTTGGCACTCACATAGTGCCTTAAATAAAGCTCCAGGAGAGCATTGATGCGTTCCGTCTGCCTATCTGATTGGGGGTGGAAACTCGTAGAGAAGTTGAGATCCGTCCCCATCTTCTTGAAGAGCCCCGTCCAAAATCTACCCGTAAAGCGCGGGTCAATGTCACTGACAATGTTTTGCGGAACTCCCCAAAGCTTGACCACATGGTCTACAAACAACTCCGCTGCCCTCTCTGCTGTGCAGTCTGCTGGTGCAGGTATGAAGGTGGCATACTTATTGAACCGATCTACCACCACTATAATGCTCCCGCAACCTTCTGACTTGGGCAAGCAAGTGATGAAATCCATAGAGACGCTCTCCCATGGTCTCTCTAGAATAGGCAATGGCTCCAATAGGCCTGCAGGATGCTGTTGCTCAATCTTGTCTTGTTGGCACACAAGACAAGTCCTCACATATGTCTCCACATCATCACGCATCCGAGGCCAATAGTAAGAATCTTCTAGGAGTGCTAGTGTGCGCCGCATACCTGGGTGACCAGCCCATTTGGTGTCGTGGCACTCCCGTATTAGCTCCTTCCGCAAGTTTCCCCACCTGGGCACAAAAAGTCGGTCCCCTGTAGTGAGAAGTAAATCATCCCTTAGCCAAAAGCGTCGAGTCTTCCCTTCCTTAGCCAGCTGAATAAGGCTTTTGGCTAAAGGGTTATGCTGTAACCCTTCTTTGATCCGCTCCACAAGAGAGTGCTGGGGCCGACTGATAGCTGCGAGCTCGGCCTTGCGACTAAGCGCATCTGCCACAACATTGGCCTTGCCTGGCTTCTATTCAAAATGATAAGTGAACTCTGCTAGGAAGTCCAGCCATCGAGCTTGCTTGGGGCTGAGCTTCTTCTGTGTCTGGAAGTAGCTGGTGGCAACATTATCCGTCTTGATCACAAATTGTGCCCCGAGCAAGTAGTGCCTCCAAGTACGTAGGCAATGGATGATCGCCGTCATCTCTTTCTCCTGCACCGTATAGCGTCGCTCGACGTCATTGAGCTTGCGGCCCTTATAAGCTATGGGGTGTTCTTCCTGCATCAACACGCCCCCAATAGCAAAGTCTGATGCATCCGTGTGCACCTCATATGGCTTGGAGTGGTTGGGCAAGCTAAGTACCGGCTCTTCTGTAACTGCTCTCTTCAAGTCATCAAATGCCCACTGGCATGACTCTGTCCAACTCCAAGCACGCGCCTTCTTGAGAAGGTCTGTCAATGGGGCTGCTCTCGCCGAGTAACCCTTGATAAAGCGACGGTAGTAGTTGACAAGCCCAAGAAATGAGCGTACCTCTGTCACATTAGTGGGCGGCTCCCACTGTTGAATGGCCCTCACATTTGCCTCATCCATCATCAGCTTGCCATCCCGTATCTTATGCCCTAGGAACAACACCTCCTCTTGGGCAAAGGAGCATTTCTCCGTCTTCACATATAGGTCGTTCTCCCGTAGGACTTGGAAGACCGCCCTCAAGTGCTGCACGTGCTCTTCTAGAGTGGTGCTATACACAACAATATCATCCAAGTACACCACCACAAAGCGATCCAAGTAGGGATGGAAAAGCTTGTTCATCAAAGTACAGAAAGTAGCAGGTGCATTGGTGGGGCCAAACGGCATAACAAGAAACTCATAAGAGCCATACCTCATCACACACGTAGTCTTAGGCTAATCCCCGTCCGCTATCCGCGCCTGGTAGTACCCCGAGCGCAAGTCAAGCTTAGTGAAGTAGCGTTCTCCACCAAGTTGATCAAAGAGATTGGCAATGAGAGGAATGGGGTACTTGTTTTTGATAGTCACCTTGTTGAGCGCCCGGTAGTCGATGCACATGCGCAAGGACCCGTCCTTCTTCCTCTGGAACAGCACCGGTGCGCCATATGGGGCCTTCGATGGTCGAATATAGCTCGCATCTAATAGTTCCTTAAGTTGCCTCCGCAACTCCTCCAACTCTGAGGGTGCCATCCGGTAGGGCACCAAAGCAGGGGGTTTAGAACCCGGTTCCAGCTCAATCTGATGATCCACCTCCCTCCTAGGTGGAAGCTTCTTGGGCAGCTCCTTAGGTATCACGTCCGTGTACTCGTCTAGCACGGCTCGTATCTCCTTAGGCACCTCTTCTTGCGGGGAAGGGACTAGCTCATCATCGGGTGTCTCCAGTAACGTAGCAAGGTAGCTAGTCTCTCCCTTCTTGAAGCCCTTCTTGAACTGCATAGCTGACAAAGCTTGGGCTTCCAACTTGGCGCCTCGCTCCACCGGCACCATGCATGCTGTGTTGCCTTCCATAATACACATAGTGTTAGCAAAAGGAATGGGGAAGGCTCTCACCTTGTCTAAGAACTCCAACCCAAGGACTAGTTTGAAGTCGTCCATGGGTACCACCAATAGATCTATGTGGCCACCCCACTCGCCAATGCACACTTGGACGCCGTGTGCCATGCCATGTATAGCCTTTGCCGCCGAGTTAACTGCCTTCATGGAGCCCCCTTCTTTGCTATACTTGAGGCCCAACCTCTTGGCCTCGTCAAGGCTCACAAAGTTGTGGGATGCACCCGTGTCCACCAAAGCACGTATGGGTGTCCCATTGATGCTTGCCTCCACGAACATTAGCCCTTTAGCCGCCGCCTCAGGGACTTCAGTTTTAGCCTTGATGGCATTAAGGATTTGTAATGAACCCATCTGCGCCTCCTCCTGTTGTTGTTCTTCGTAGCGGCTCGTCATGGCATTGAGGGTCTTCCGCTTTGGGCAATCTCGTACCCAATGTGGTCCATCACATATAAAGCAAGAACCCTTAGGCTTGGGTGTTCCTTCCTTATTCTCCCTTCCCTCTTTGCCTTCATGGCCACCACCTGGCTTACGGGACCAATCCTTATGGGGTGCAGCGCCCTTATCTCCCCTACCTTTGCCGGCATACCTCACCTTATCCTTGTCTTTGTCTTTTGGCTTGGACGAGGGTTCCTTCTTAGAGCTGAAATCAATAAAGGACTTCGCCTCTGCAATAGCTGTGGCAAGGTCTTGCACGTTGCGCCGCCTCAACTCTGTCTTAGCCCACGACTGCAATCTATCCACGAAGAAGAAAAGAAAGTCCTTATCGGATAGATCCGGGATCTCAAGAGTCAAGTTAGTGAATTCCTTCACATAGTCCCGAATCGACCCAACCTATTTTAGCCTTCGGAGTCTACCCCTAGCTTCATCCTCGGCATTCTCAGGATAGAAATTCTTCTTAATTTCCCTAGTAAAATCAGCCCAAGTATTAATAGAGACCGTACCTTTGCCTATGTCACCATACTTTTTCCTCCACCATAGCATGGCATGGTCGGTGAGGTAGTGGGTCGCCGTGCGTATCTTAATGGTCTCATCGGTTATGCCCGTAGCCTCAAAGTATTGCTCCATGCTGAAGAAGAAGTTCTCCGACTCCCTCGCTACCCGGTTCCCACCATAGCACTTAGGCTTGGGAATATCAACCCGAGGTGCTACTATCCCCGTAGTAGCTATGCCAGACGCCACCGCCCGTTTGCACAATATCCAATCCGCTCGCATTTCCTCCATTTGCTCGCGGAAAGTGCTAAGCTCCTGATCAACATAGCCACGTAGGGTGGCAAACTCACCCAACATAAGTTCTCGAAGTGCTTGGAGCTCCTGCCGAAAGTCACCACTTAGGGCATTGAGTGACCCTTTGACAGCATTTTGGACCTCAACGTCCTCCGACTCCAGCCCATCCATGCGCTGGTGAGCATCCTCAAGCTGCTCCAACACGTTGGCTATGGACCCCTCCATCTTTGCCACACGTGCCTCTAAGCCCGCCATGATGTCCTTCGACCTAGCCCTCGTCCTCACTTCGCCTGGAGGGGGATTTGTTTCCCTTCCACGTAGAGTCTCCTCTTGGGTGCCAGTCACGTCTGATAGCTCCGCCATAGCTTCCTCCACACAAGGTGTGACGCCTCCCGACCTTAGCTCTGATACCAACTGTCATGGACTTGAACCTTTTCAAGCTCCCGTACGGCCTTAGACATTTTCAAGCCCCCTTGAAGCGCTAAGTCAGCCTACCCGTGTGTGCTAGCTTAGTGAAGACTAAGGCTAGACAAGTGTTTTGCTTATTTGGGTGTGTAGGAAGAGGTTAGGCAAGCGAGCAAGAGAGTTTGAGAATGTATAGAACTTGTATTGCTTGAGAGGAGAGATTACAACTTGGTTGTTTGGTGAGGAGCAAATGAACTCCCACCTCTTATTTATAGGCCTTTGGCCTTACAAGAACATTCTAGATGTGTACAAATGTGTGGCCTAGATTTAGTGTCTAGAATCCTCCAGAAATATCTACACAATTCTAGAACTATCTACTATGTACAAGACAAGTCTAGAGAATTCTATACAACTCTAGACAAGTCTAGAAAAGGCTAGACAACTCCACACTAATCTAGAGAATTCCGGAAAGTTCCATACTTGTGTAGAAAAGTCTAGAAAGCTCCAGTCCATGCAGGCTCCATGTCATCGTCTGCTGGGCGTCTGCGTGGCGCCTGCGTGGTATAGCCTCTTGGTTGCGGGGTGTGACAATAGGCTGTTATCATGGCTATTACTTTAATGTTGAAAGCATGGGTCCTTGTCGTGGCCATTACTTTATTGCATTGATATAACATGGGAGTATGGGAACCTCGTATGTGGAGGTTGTGGTTGATTGTTATTTGTTGTTGATTGTTGTGAAGTTATTGTTGGTTGTTGTGTACGTGAGGTAGAAAGTTTCTTACCATTCCTCTCATTCCAATTTTGATCATCACATCACTCCAATGGAATAGCACAATGTGAATCTTGGTTATCTAGACCCCAACATGATCTAACAACCTCCTCTAGGTCAAATCCCTCCCGGAGTTCAAGCTCCAAAGCGTAGAGGACTTATGTTTCTTGTACATATGTTTCACTTTTGGCTGGTAACATAGGGCTTAGTGTCACGGACTTGAACCTTTTCAAGCTCCCGTGTGGCCTTAGACACTTTCAAGCCCCCTTAAAGCGCTAAGTCAGCCTACCCGAGTGTGCTAGCTTAGTGAAGACTAAGGCTAGGCAAATGTTTTGCTTACTTGGGTGTGTAGGAAGAGGTTAGACAAGTGAACAAGAGAATTTGGGAATGTATAGAACTTGTATTGCTTGAGAGGAAAGATTACAACTTAGTTGCTTGGTGAGGAGCAAATGAACTCCCACCTCCTATTTATAGGCCTTTGGCCTTACAAGAACATTCTAGATGTGTACAAATGTGTGGCCTAGATTTAGTGTCTAGAATCCTCCAGAAATATCTACACAATTCTAGAACTATCTACTATGTACAAGACAAGTCTAGAGAATTCTATACAACTCTAAACAAGTCTAGAAAAGGCTAAACAACTCCATACTAATCTAGAGAATTCCAGAAAGTTCCATACTTATGTAGAGAAGTCTAGAAAGCTCCAGTCCATGCAGGCTCCATGTCATCGTCTGCTGGGCGTCTGCATGGCGCCTGCGTGGCATAGCCTCTTGGTAGCGGGGTGTGACATTCTCCCCCACCTAAGCTCGCGACGCCCTCGTCGCGTCTTCTTGCTTGAACCGCTGGATATGCTCCGCGAACTGCCATAGTGTATCCTCATGCTCCCAGCTCGCCTCGCTATCTGGCAGGTTCTTTCACTTCACTAAATACTCTGTATATTTGGGCACGCCTCTCCTGCTCATCACACGATCTGCAAGGATGCAATCAACTTCCTTGTCAAAGGATGTGACAACGGCCGTGGGTGCCCTATGCGATATGCCCCGAGTAAGGCCTTCCGTGTCTTCATGATAAGGCTTGAGCATGCTGACATGGAAGAGTGGATGTATCTTCAACTTTGGTGGAAGCCCCACCATGTAGGAGACCTTGCCCACCCGCTTGACGATGGGGAACGGGCCCTCGTACCTCCTTACTAGCCCCTTATGCACGCTCCAAAAGGACTTAAACTGTTGGGGTAGTAGCTTAACCATCACCTGGTCTCCCACTATGTACTCCACCCGCCTTCGCTTGGTGTCGGCCCACTTTTTCATCTTCTTTGCCGCCTGGTTAAGGTACGCCCTAGCCAAGTCGGACTGCTCATGCCACCTCTTGGCAAATTTGTAGGCCGCCGGGCTCTTACCATCGCAAGTCGAAGCAATGGCATTGGGTGTCATAGGCTGCCGTCCGGTAACAACCTCAAATGGACTGTGATTGGTAGCCTCACTCCGCTGCAAGTTGTAAGAAAACTGTGCCACCCCAAGGAGTTTGGCCCAATCTCGCTGATTAGCACTCACATAGTGCCTCAAATAAAGCTCCAGGAAAGCGTTGATGCACTCCGTCTGCCCATTTGATTGGGGGTGGAAACTCGTAGAGAAGTTGAGATCCGTCCCCATCTTCTTAAAGAGTCCCATCCAAAATCTACCCGTGAAACGCGGGTCTCTATCACTGACAATATTCTGCGGAACGCCCCAAAGCTTGACCACATGGTCAACAAACAACTCTGCTGCCCTCTCTGCTATACAGTCTGCTGGTGCGGGTATGAAGGTGGCACACTTGCTGAACCGATCTACCACCACTATAATGCTCCCACAACCTTCTGACTTGGGCAAGCAAGTAATGAAATTCATAGAGACACTCTCCCATGGTCTCTCTGGAATAGGTAATGGCTCCAATAGGCCTGCAGGATGCTGTTGCTTAATCTTGTCTTGTTGGCACACAAGACAAGTCCTCACATATGTCTCCACATCAACACGCATCCGAGGCCAATAGTAAGAATCTTCTAGGAGTGCTAGTGTGTGTCGCATACCTGGGTGACAAGCCCATTTGGTGTCATGGCACTCCCGTATCAACTCCTTACGCAAGTTGCCCCACCTAGGCACAAATAGTCGGTCCCCTATAGTGAGAAGTAAATCATCCCTTAGCCAAAAGCGCCGAGTCTTCCCTTCCTTAGCCAGCTGAATAAGGCTTTTGGCTAAAGGGTCATGCTGCAACCCCTCTTTGATCCTCTCCACAAGAGAGTGTTGGGGCCGACTGATAGCTGCGAGCTCGGCCTTGCGACTAAGCGCATCTGCCACATCATTGGCTTTGATTGGCTTGTATTCAAAATGATAAGTGAACTCCGCTAGGAAGTCCTGCCATCGAGCTTGCTTGGGGCTGAGCTTCTTCTGTGTCTGGAAGTAGCTGGTGGCAACAATATCCGTCTTGATCACAAATTGTGCCCCGAGCAAGTAGTGCCTCCAAGTACGTAGGCAATGGATGACCGTCGTCATCTCTTTCTCCTGCATTGTATAGCGCCGCTCGATGTCATTGAGCTTGCGGCTCTTATTAGCTATGGGGTGTTCTTCCTGCATCAACACGCCCCCAATAGCGAAGTCTGATGCATCCATGTGCACCTCATATGGCTTGGAGTGGTCGGGCAAGCTAAGTACCGGCTCCTCTGTAACTGCTCTCTTCAAGTCATCAAATGCCCCCTGGCATGACTCTATCCAACTCCAAGCACGCGCCTTCTTGAGAAGGTCTGTCAATGGGGCTGCTCTCGCCGAGTAACCCTTGATAAAGCGACGGTAGTAGTTGACAAGCCCAAGAAATGAGCGTAACTCTGTCACCTTAGTGGGTGGCTCCCACTGTTGAATGGCCCTCACCTTCGCCTCATCCATCATCAGCTTGCCATCCCGTATCTTATACCCTAGGAACAACACCTCCTCTTGGGCAAAGGAGCATTTCTCCATCTTCACATATAGGTCCTTCTCCCGTAAGACTTGGAAGACCGCCCTCAAGTGCTGCACGTGCTCTTCTAGAGTGGTGCTATACACAACAATATCATCCAAGTACACCACCACAAAGCGATCCAAGTAGGGATGGAAGAGCTTATTCATCAAAGTACAGAAAGTAGCAGGTGCATTGGTGAGGCCAAACGGCAAAACAAGAAACTCATAAGAGCTATACCTCGTCACACACGTAGTCTTAGGCTTATCCCCGTCCGCTATCCGCACCTGGTAGTACCCCGAGCGCAAATCAAGCTTAGTGAAGTAACGTGCTCCACCAAGCTGATCAAAGAGATCGGCAATGAGAGGAATGGGGTACTTGTTTTTGATAGTCACCTTATTGAGCGCCCGGTAGTCGATGCACATGCGTAAGGACCCGTCCTTCTTCCTCTGGAACAGCACCGGTGCGCCATATGGGGCCTTCGATGGTCAAATATAGCCTGCATCTAACAGTTCCTTAAGTTGCCTCCGCAACTCCTCCAACTCTAGGGGTGCCATCCGGTAGGGCACCAAAGTAGGGGGTTTAGAACCCGGTTCCAGCTCAATCTTATGATCCACCTCCCTCCTAGGTGGAAGCTTCTTGGGCAGCTCCTTAGGCATCACGTCTGTGTACTCGTCTAGCACGGCTTGTATCTCCTTAGGCACCTCTTCTTGCGAGGAAGGGACTAGCTCATCATCGGGTGTCTCCAGTAACGTAGCAAGGTAGCTAGTCTCTCCCTTCTTGAAGCCCTTCTTGAACTGCATAGCTGACAAAGCTTGGGCTTCCAACTTGGCGCCTCGCTCCACCGGCACCATACATGCTGTGTTGCCTTCTATAATACACATAGTGTTAGCAAAAGGAATGGGGAAGGCTCTCACCTTGTCTACGAACTCCAACAAAGGACTAGTTTGAAGTCGTCCATAGGTACCACCGATAGATCTATGTGGCCACCCCACTCGCCAATGCATGCTTGGACGCTGTGTGCTGTGCCATGTATAGCCTTTGCCGCCGAATTAACTGCCTTCATGGAGCCCCCTTCTTTGCTATGCTTGAGGCCCAACCTCTTGGCCTCGTCAAGGCTCACAAAGTTGTGGGATGAACCCGTGTCCACCAAAGCACGTGTGGGTGTCCCATTGATGCTCGCCTCCACGAACGTTAGCCCTTTAGCCGCCGCCTTAGGGATTTCAGT